GGCAGTTTTAAGGCGAAAAATACGCACTAAGTTTTTTTTACGATCAAATTGTGGCATAGAATGTGTTAAAAGTTTTGCTGTTTCGTTTTTTAAGCGTGGAAAAAGGCGTGAATAGTATCAAATATAACAAGAGTTTTAGATTAGACTTGTAAAGAATATAAATAAGAAAGTTTGAAACAAGGCAACTAAATTCATGGGCCAACCTCTTTAATTATAATTATTACTGTAATAAGTTTTGAGTATTTTTTCTATAACTGTAGTATATGTTTTTCTTGATGTACTTATTTTTTTGATTACTTTTATTGACTACTTGAATAGGCGTTTGTCTGTTAACTTACCTGATGGAAACCGGCAATGAAGACGAAAGTGGGTCGCTGTGTGTGTATATTATTTCATACTGTCCTCGTATAGGTAAATAATCTAATAAGAATGAACATATATTTGTTTTTTTTTATACCATTGCAGTACCGTTTATCCTATCGTTATTATTCACGCGCGTTAATAGGGATATAGAGAAGGAGATAGGGTACCTTTAATCCAGGTAAACTGCTGTTACCGAGACATGAAAAAAATATTTCACTGAAGCAACCTTATGTTGGAACGGAATTCCTTATCACGCGTTACACGTACAAGACTTTTTGCTGCCACTTTAGTTGGCGCGTCGACGCTTACATCTTTTTCATATTTCATACATATTACAAATGTCTACCAAGAAGCAAAAGGAACTTGGTTCCGACCGTGGGTCCATAATAAAGCTGGAGACCTTGTTTGTTCGTTCGTCTGTTTGGTTGAACGTTTCTGGGCACTATGTGGCCAAAATATGAGTGTTGGCATAATATGGAGGTCTAGCTAGGCAAGACCTTAAAACAAGTTGTGTACCAATTCATAAAGTGATAAGAACAGAACAACCTTTCGTTTATAAAATTATTTTTTTATTTAGACGCTCATTAAATCACTGTAGTTGGATTCATCGTCAGCCTATCACAGTTCACTGCTGGACATAGGCATCTCCTTAGATCGATTTTGGGCTTCTCGCATCCAGCTCCTGCCAGCCATCTTGCGCAAACCGTCACTCCACCTGTCCTGTGGGCGTCCTACACTACGTTTGCCGAGAGTTTTGTAGTTGGATTAATATATTTTGAAAATTGCACAGACTCATTTTAGGTAATTATTTACACAGGTAACAAAAAAGGGCTATACAGTAGGTTTGCTTGGTATAAAAACTCAGTAACACAGTAGGTAAACTAAGAGCGAGAACTACAACACTTTTCGTACTGTATAATTTATAATTTGCATAATTAAATAAATGACTGTATCAAAGTATCGAGCTCACCACACAATATTTGTCTAGCTTTGTTTTTCAGGTTCCCTAACCACTAGACCGAAAGGCCCGTCAATTACAGTTGAACTAATAATAAAATAACATTTAGACAATAAAGCGTTGGTCTAACCGAAGGCGGGTAAGCTAATGACAATGTATTTTGTTCACGGCTATACTCTACAAAAAGTCCTTTATAAAATAAAATGTCATTTATATTAAAATGAAATATGTACTCTCAAAGTACTAAATAATATGATAATATAAAAGAAGTGTGAAGAAAAAGTCGGTTTATAAGAACTAAGTTGCACTGCAATGTTAGGTTTTTTTTTTATTTTAGAGGGGGCAGACGAGCAGACGGGTCACCTGATGGCAAGTGACCATCACCGTCCATGAACGTCTGCAATTCAGGAGTCACAAACGCGTTGCCGGCCTTTTAGGAACGAGTACACTCTTTAGGCAAACAAATTAATTACCATCTCTGATGGTTTACCACTTAATCTCATTCGTTTATATATACACTTCCAGCATGATGGTAGCCCTGCGTATCACAGAAGAAGTGCAGAAGAATGGCCGGATTCTAATATCGTAAAAAGTTGGTTGGAAGAGGTAATTGGGTGACGCGTGCGGATACGCATTGGCAGTATCCGTAACATATCAGAATAACACAAGTCAGTATAGGTCGTCATCTTCAACAGTATCCGAAGCACAAATCAAAGTCCAGTTAGCATTAGTTAGTCACGAATAGAAAAGGCAACAGTCCAGAAATACAAGCCAAGTTTTTTACTAGGTACCGAGCCATGCGCAAATTTTTTATAATCCCGGTCATTCATCTAAGTTCTATAAATTCTGATACTATTCGAGACTATTTTACCGTGTTAAATGCTGACAATACATTCATGTTTTTAACACGTCTGTAACTTAGCTGTCGTAGATTTTTTTTTAAATATTGCTCAAAGAAAACAATATTTTTGACAAATTTATTTAATGTTCCTGTTATCACCCATCTACTTCGACCCAGTTTGTTAAAAATATTAGACAAAATTTTGGCATTTTTATCTTAAATAATAAATAATAATACAATATGATATTCTACCACAATCACACAACGAAATCTAGTCCCAAACTAAGCAGAGCTTGTACTATGGCTACTAGACAACTGATATAAATATACAACTGATATAATAATTTTTTTTGGTAAATAAATACATATAATACATAGAAACACCCAGACCAAATCAAACATTACATGTTCATGCATACAAATGTTTGTCTTGAGCGGGAAAAATAATAATAAATTGTTCTTAAAGGTCCTATTACTTGAAAATGATTTGGTTTGTAGTATAGTATGTAATAGAGAAATCTATCAGTAATAATGGCCACTACAGCCCCCTAAAGTACCTAGGTCGACTTAATCAGTAACCCTGTATGTGCCATAGCATTGCATTCTCACGATAAATAAATTAAAAAATTAATAAAATACGCTTTCAGAGTACGAGTTTATTTCACTTTTACTCGATCGTCACGGTGATCGCGTTTGGCGCTGTGATTGGCCCGCACTGAAATCTTAACCAATCGCAACGCCAAACGCGCTCGCTGTCGAGAGTGGGTTGATGTGAAATAAACTCGTACTTGGCCCTCTGATTGAAACACCGTGAAATTACTCCGCTAGCCGCTAGCAATATTACAAAATCTTTACGAAAAAGTAAATTTGAAACAGTTTTACAAAAAGTCCAGAGCCATTTACGGTTCTCCTCCTGTAATCCTGTATTGAATAAAACATTTTTCTGAACACATTTTTTGCATCGCTTTAATATTCATTTATGGTAATATCAGTTGACATATATCGCTCAGAGTTTTAAACGTATGCTCTTGGAGATCAGAAATAGAATAAATATTCTTTTGAAGTTAAACTTAGAGGATTTGAGTATTCTCCAACATTAAGTACATAAGACCCTTTTAAAGAACATTTTAGTTGAAAACTTTTGATGATCTATCAAAATTCTTTATGGATAATGAAATATTCATTAGATGGTGTGAGAATTTGTAGCGTTTCCTACTACAGCATTACTTGATACTTACGTGATTAGACTGTGTATTATGTTCATTTACTGTTAAAACTGAATATTATTTAAGATGGAATTCCAAAGTAAACAAAAATCGAAGTTTAAGTTGATGTTCATAAAATCAATATTAAAATTATTAGGTTGAAGAGTTTGTTTGTTTTGAATTGAAAAAATCTTTTAGTGTTGGATAGCCCATTTAATGAAGAAGGCTATATAACATAGAAGCAGACAAAGTTGCGAGGGTCAGTTCGTTATTAATAAACTAAAAGTAACTAGTGAATGGCCTGTACTTACAATGTGAACTTAGGTTTGGAACTATAAAATGACCTTTTTTTAATGGGACTAATCCCTCCCACACGCCCACCACTGTAACGCCTGTACACCAGGATCAATAACAGTAACCTCGGCACACACCATACATTTTATGTCTATGTAATTACTTCAAATGTAAGAGTAAGTAGTTTTCTCATCATCATCATCAACAGCCTCTTATACCACGCTGGCCAGACGGGTTGGTATAGGGTTTGTGTCAAGTTTTCCTTCTCTCGCGAATAGTACATTTTTATAATTAAAGACAAGTCCCGCATTAGGTATATATCCTGTGTCGCGGGGGACTTTACAGACATACATGAAACGGATACAAAGAACACCCAGACTTAGAACAACAATTTGTGGATCGTTGTCGCCCCATGTGGAGATCGGACCCACAACATTCAGCGTAGTAGTAAGCGGCGTGGCGACCGCTTAATCCACTGCCATCCGTGCAGTCAAGTCAATTTTAAATTTTATTATCAAAGAGCAAATTCTTTAATGACAATCTGTCTTTAATTTTATGTTCAACTATTTTAATAACTAAATAAGGCATACTGAGCTATTTGATATTACTAGAGAACACTCGACAGACAATCGAATTTCGGAAGTTTTGAATGTCGTGTTTTACTTCATTGACCAGTATTACTTGAACTGTTATTGTTTAAACTTTTGTAACTTGACATATCGAATTTTGTACTGGACCACTATAGCTTATTGTTGCCGTTTTACATTATTATTTTTTATGGTACAAGGGGGCAAACGAGCAGACGGGTCACTTGATGGTAAGCAACTACCGCCGCCCATGGACGCCTGCAACTCAAAAGTCACAAGTGCGTTGCCGCCCTTAGATTCCCTCCCGCTCGAGTCAGCGGGAGTGGGGATTTGAGCTCCGGTAACCTCACTCACTCAGTGAAAGGCAACGAAAGAATTGCTTTACACCAGTTTTCCGTGCGGCCGTGGTATCACTCCGGTTAAGCCGGCCCATTCGTTGCGAAGCATGGCTCCCCCACAACAAAATCTCCCACAATATAATCTTAAAATACAAGTACCTGCACTCTGTTAAGGAACTTATTGTAAAAAGAATCAAAGAAAATGATGTTTATACAGCTTTTATTACATTATTTACAAAGACGCTGATATAGAATAAATACACAAAATTATATCAAAATTGCTCAAATGTTCAACAAAACGGTTCAATTGTCACTTCTGTGTTCACAAACAGTTATAAAAAAGACGAACTAAAAATTCTTAGCGTTATGAGTAAAAAAGGAGAACTTGGAAAATATGCTCGTCGCTTGGGTTGATCAGTGGTGGTATCCGCCAAGTCCGCCAAAACCTCCATTGATTCCACTGTAGCCACCGTGGCCACCGTAACCACCATAACCTCCGTAACCACCATACCCACCATAGCTACTCGCGACACCATGTCCAGGAGCTGTAAACAATAAATTTATTGAAATTTTGCTAGAAGAGTATCACAAAATAATTAAATTAAACTAAAAATAAACTTAGATTTAAAATTGTGAAAGTATCAATTAAAACTGAGAAAAACTGAAAATAATTGTGAAAATTTTAGATACTAGAAAACAGAACAATAATGCTTTGTGTGCTTTTATTTTATTTAAATTCCCACGTTTAACGAACTCACCGAGGCCATATCCGCCGTATCCACCAAGGTTGTTGTATCCGTATCCGCCGTATCCACCAAGTTTGTTGTATCCACCATAACCCGCTCCGCTATAACCCGCTCCGCCATAACCCGCTCCGCCATATCCTCCATAACCGCCAATTCCACCGTAGCCGCCATATCCCCCATAACCGCCATAGCCAGAGTATCCAAGTGAGTTATGAGGTGTAGTAAAAGAAACCTTGCTGATGGCTAGTGGCGCGACTGTGGACAACAAAAAAATTAGGAAAGATTTGTAAGGACCTACAATTGTACCCTGAGGTAGCCTATGCCAATCTTGATCAAGAATAGACTGATAATGTTATTTAAAGGTGTCCAATATTATAATTAGATCATCAAAATAATTTAAAATTCGTACACTTTGATTGTAATATAAACTTGTGGAAGATTTATCCTTTTTCACTTATATATCTTACTACTATTTGAATGAATTTTTGTTACTAAATCACGCCATAACTGCTGAACACATCTGAATAAAATTTGGCCCGGGAAATTCTTCTGGAATTGCATATTAGCTTGATTAATTCCGCAACCGAAAGCTGATTGTATTATGAAACGTAAATTACGTCTTGAAGGTCCTGTTTTGGTCAATGTCAGTTCACATTTAATATAAAGTATGTACATTTTATGTCTATGTAATTACTTCAAATGTTAGAGTAAGTAATATTTTGTCATCATCATCATCAACAGCCTCTTATACCACGCTGGCCAGACGGGTTGGTATAGGGTTTGTTTCAAGTTTTCCTTCTCTTTGCAGTGCTGTTGTCATCCCATGGGATGAATTGGGGTGGTGACACTCCGTATTCTTAATCCGTCACCAATTATGTGTAATTGCTACTTAAAAACCTATTCACATGCACTTACACGTAAAACTGAACCGTAAAACTAAAAACTAAAGTTGCTTTTACCGTCGACAGGTCAATATCCGACTTATTACGTCAGTATATAAGAGCCGTTTCATCACAAAGATGAAAATGGTTTCTAGAAATGAAACAGTTAGGAAAAAAAAATTATAGTCAAAAAGCGAGAAATTTATTAATGACTAGCTGACCCGCGCAACTTCGTCTGCGTCTCTCAATAGTAATAAATTTTCTCCGTTTTTGAAACATTCTTCATTGGTGCTCCGCTCCTATTGGTCTTAGCGTGATGATATATAGCCTATAGCCTTCCTCGATAAATGGGCTATCTAACACTGAAAGAATTTATCAAATCGGACCAATAGTTTCTGAGATTAGCGCGTTCAAACAAACAAATAAATAAACAAACAAACAAACTCTTCAGCTTTATAATATTAGTATAGAATTTATTTGATCAATGACACCTACATAAAATTGCTTAGAATTGTTTATTTTATTTATCTATATGTGGGTCCAGACAGACATTTCTTCAGTACAGTCGTGATCATCATCAACATCATCAACAGCTTTAAATAGTCCACTGCTGGACATAGGCCTCTCCTTAAAAAGGAGGTTTTGGATTACTATACCACGCTGGCCAGACGGGTTGGTATACGGTTTGTGTCAAGTTTTCCTTCTCTTTTCAGTACAGTAAAATTCAATAAATAAGTATGAACGATGTTTTAAGTATTGTTGAAGTAAAAACCTATTTCATTATTAATATGATGGCGTCTACCGTGAGATATAGTCTCTTTGTCGGTAACACGTGAGAATTTGGAATCCTTGGCCTGCTAATACCTTCATTGTCAAACCTGTAATTATCCACTTACTTACAAGTCATCTATATATGTATAACTGCGCAACAAATATAACATAGGATGTATTCGATGTTTATCAAGCCGGGACGCAATAAAAAACGGATTTTGTAACACTAATGCCCTTAATGTCTTTAGAAAATAAAAGTTATCAGTAACATTGGTTGGGAATTAAAAAACTATTGACGATTAACATTTAAATCAAATTCAATTTTTTAACTACTTACTTTAAGACTCAAATTCCTTTTGATTTTCTTGATTACTAGTTAAAAAAAACATTTTAAAGAATTCTGTATTCCGAACTTGTGTATGAATCTGAGATAATTCCGTGCACTAATCCATTTCGTAGTTTTAAGTTGTCTAAGTATAGTCGATTTGTTCAGATGATTACTTATGCGTGTCACGTAGTCATTTTATGTATGTCTGTGATAATTTTGGGTTTTACATATGTCATTTATTTATACTTTTTAATAAATTTATCCTTATTATTATTATTACTTCTCTAAAGCGCTGTTACATTAATCTTTTCGTACTATTTCATTTGATTCAGCTATTTGTTCAGAAGTAACAAGATTTAGGAACAGTTTAACGAGGAAATTATAGTTTTGGTTCATTGTGTTTAGTTTCTACTAAAATTCCCTTTCTATTGACGGAGTAATGAGATTTAAGTAGATTCATCAAAGTGAAGGGCTCTTTTAAGTGTAATTAAAGTTTTTAAACCGGTATTATATTCATTACACTATATAAAATAGCAAAAAGTAAGCAATTAGACATCAGAATGACACATTTTTTGTCACTACTCAACTTTTTACATGGTACTTTAAAATTTTTAGTTTAAGAATGCGTAAGATGGTTTAGCTTGTTAAAAATTTCAATAGATCTTAGAATTTTAGCCAGTTTTAAATTTTTTTTTTTTAATTTGACTATTTTATCATTTACTGCGTTTTGGAAACTTTTGACTGCTGTACTGAGGTCTCGGGTTCGATTTCCGGGTCGGACCAAATGTTTGTATGATCTGCAAATATTTGTTTCGGTGTTTTCTATGTTTAATATGTATTTTATTACAGAAAAAAAACAGTAAAAAGTATTCTATCAGTCAATCTAGCTTTCATAGTACAAGCTATGCTTAGTTTGAAATGTCCAAATATTATTATTATTAATAATACACATTTTTTTGTTAGTTTGACATAGGCTATCTTAAAACTAGTAACTATATATTATTACTAGCTGAAACTGGACTTCGTTCGCGTGGAATTTGAAAAGCGCTGCCTTAGTGGGTTCGATGCCCGGACCGGGCAAAATTTTAAAGGTCTTTTCTGAGAGGTAAAATAGCCTAAGTTATTCCTTATACAGACAGTTACCTGGTAGTAAAATATTATCGAAATCGGTCCAGGCGTTTAGAAGATTACCCGGAACCAACAGACAGACATAAAAAAATGGTTTTTAGGCATAGGTATCGTGCAAATAACTGTGTTAGTATGAAAAAAACCTATAAACAGACACTTCAATTTTATTTATTTGTATAGATATAGACGGAATAGACTTACTAAGAACAAAAAGGGAATACAAAAGGGCTTTAGAAATAGCTTCTTGTGTTAATAACTAGATGGCCCTATAAATGACTGACATATATAATATATACATATATTATGTGCTCACCATTGTTTTTATCATACGTATATCCTGCGAAATATAATTCAAATTCAACACCATGAAAAAAATAACAATATCTTTAAAAAAAATTGAAAAATTGTAATAACATCTGAATTATGGTCGTGGAATTATTATCTGAATTATTAATTATGGTCGTGGGTTCAAATCTCACGCAGGACAAATAATTGTATGAGAAGCACAATCATTTGTTGTCTCTGTCTCTATAATATGTATGAATTTAGAAATATTTTAATAAGTTCATCAGTCTGCACAGCAGTATTGCCTCGGTGGCGCAGTGGGCCACTGCTGTGCTGAGGTCTCGGGTTCGATGCCCGGGTCGGATGCACAGGCTCTGCCTAATTTGGAATCAAACAGCCGTGCAGCCGTGCGTATCATATATTATTATGTTTAGTGTTTTTTTAGATCGAAATTTATATATTTTTATTATTGAAAATTCTTACCTGACACGAGTAAATGTACTTATTTTGGGTTCTGTAAAACAATTTAACAAGTCGATCGCCCACGTAAAATGGAAGTAAGAATCAACAAGAGATTAAGAAATATTGTAACGAAAAAAGAGGAAAATAAAAGAAAATCGACTTAAAGTCATAATTATTACCCATGCCTGCATAGTTTTTGCGTTTATATGACTCCTCTGTAAAATAAATACATTTCAATAACAGCATGGACCTTACAAGTCAATGACAACTAAAATACAAATTTATTATAAAATCCCAATCCCACGTGTCCCAGTTACTGAAATATAAGAAATAAATCTACAATTTTTAAACAATATATCTTCTTACCGTATCCTGAATATCCTCCATAAGTTGAAAGCCCTCCAAGACCTCCGTAGCCAGATAAACCGTCATAGCCGTAGCCTAAGGATGAAAGGCCCCGCTTTTCGGTTTTCTTTTCGTCATCAGCGGACACAGCCGCGACGACCACAGCAAGGACAATCTGATATATAGAGAAAAAAGTATTTAAAAAATGTGCCCATAAAAATAATTTAGAGTTACATGACGGGCAAACAGCGGATCCTACGTCCAGGAAGAATCGTGTCTAATATGCATAAGGAAAGTTGTACAAGAATTATTCAAAGTATTATTCAAGAATTATTCAGTGTGAGTTAACTTTCAATGCGTGATGTAAGAAGTTTTTATTACCAATGTAGTTCGTCTTTCCTACGCAAGATGGCGTTAAAATATGTTTTGTCGCCATTGTTATAATTTTTTTTGTAGTTCTTGGTTCGGTAATAAAATTATAATGACAGTCACTGTAGTTACTTATGGCTCAATGTCAAAAGTATGACAAAGGTTTATCTTCAATAGTACATAGGTTTCAACCCTGAGATGTGAAAATAACTCAAGTATGCTTTTATGACTGTTTATTTTACAGCTGATTGAAGTAACCGTAACCGATAATAACAGACTGGCATGAATGAAACTTGAAATGCGTTCCCTAATCCTTTCAAAAAAGTTTTCAATTCAATTCCTTTCATAAAAATTTAACAAGGTTCTTAATACAAAACTAAGCAGTAACTACTATTTCGTAATGTACTCGGTTACAACTCTATCAATAGCAGGAAATCAAACAGTAGAAAATACTTGCTTTGTTGTCTGGCCTATGTTTGTTCTTGAAAGTAGCAACTATCAGCCCATTATAGTACATTGAATGAGATAATTATTACGTCTAGTAAAAAAGTCCTTTATAATTTACATTTATGCACTTTTAACTACGTTTTTTTTTAACTTCATTGATCTTTTAAATGCACTTTAGAGTAAACCGATTCACGTTTTTTTTAATTCTGGCAGATACCACATGATCCCTTTTCCAAGGGTCTTATGCTTACACATCATCACATCAACAGTCTTTAATAGTCCAATACTAGACATAGGCCTCTTCTTAAAAAGGAGGGTCAGGGCTACTATAACACGTTGGGCAGATGGGTATAGGGTTTGAGTCAAGTTTTCCTTCTATTTGCAATTTTGATGTCCTGCGTAGTTTGCTCTCTTAGTCGGCTCTTACAACACCCACGGGCTGAATGATAAAAGTATACCGCTTTTATCTTGAAGGCCATTAAATTATAACTCAAACAAGTTATGACGGGAAACATCATTAAACAAAGAATACACATTGAGTAGCCGACAGCAGAACACATACAGAATAGAAAACAAGAAACAAATCAAACGATTAGCGAATAGCATGCAGTTAATTATAAGCTTAATTTTAAAACAATGGCTAAGGGTTTAATACAATACAAAGATGTGAAAACAACTGTATATTTTTTTCTTTTTTAAAAAGACAACGCCCGTGTTAGGAGTATATCCTGTGTCACGGGGGACTTTGCAAACATACATGAAACGGACACAAAGAACACCCAGACTTAAAACAACAATTTGTGGATCACACAAAGTGTCGTCCCATGTGATGTGGTTTGAACCCACAACACTCGGCGTGGCGGCCGCTTAAACCACTACGCCACCCGTGCAGTCAATGTTGTGTTGATCCATCAGTCATAGGTTTATTGCCATATGCCTGTCGGGGGTGACCGAAGAATGCAAAATGACCATTGGCAGAGGAACACCGGGGTGGTTTTTAGTCGGTAATTATCTGACAGACGCCTTTGCCCCTAATGAGCAAAGGAAGTAAATGAAATATTGGCGTGAATATTATTTTTGCTTTATCTTTGGTAATACTAAGAGCTTTTTATAAGTGCGTAATAGTTTTAAATTGTGTTATTCAGAATTATGACTAGGTAAACAATGAAAACATGTACAAGAGTTAAAGTTAACATGAAGTAATGTAAACAGTGTAATAGTAAAACGTAATTATAATAATATTAATTTCTTTGTGAACAAATAAATTATTCAGTTAAACAAAAAACTTTAAGTTAAATGGCTACTTTAAGACAATTTAACTGAGATAATTTCAATTTTATGTATAATGTCTGGCCACGCCCTCTATAGACTTATTATACAGACACTTCACACAGTATTGTGAGAAAATCTCAAATAATACAATAACTATGAAATTTGAAAAGATTATAAACTGTTGTGTGCTAATAAATATTTATATCTTATCATAAATATTGAAAATGACGACCAAAATTGTGATGTGACGATTCTATGTAAAATGTTTTAATAGTCCACTGCTGGACATAGGCCTCTCCCTAGAAAGGAAATTTTGGCCTACTATTAATTTGTTAATAATAATTCACAAAGAAAATATTATTAATTTAGTAATATAGCATAAACTAATATATTTATTAAATTCAAAAACACAGACAACAAAAAAATATTTTGATAAATGTAAAGTTTTACAAACGTTACTCTAACGGGTGCTAAATTTTAAATTCATTATCTAATCAAATTTCTGAATAATTATTCCAAATAGGCAATTAATAAAATATGTAGGTAATTAAATTACAGATTATGATTACACACATAGTATTACAGCAGGAATGGGTTACTTTGTTATTATGACAGAAAGCACTGTAAACGCATGTATCGACTTATAACTGACTGAAGAAATCACACAATCAAACAAAATCCAAACCAATGTTAATATATCTTCTTACAATAAGAAGCAAAAGGTATCATTTTGTGTTATTTACATAATCCTAGGCCTAATAAGGAGTTTGATAGAATGATTAAAACATTGAAGGAGTGAATTGGGGTTAGCCTAAGTCACTCCTACATTGAAAGAGTGAAAGAGTGAATTAGGGTAAGAAAAGAATGGTAAATAAATGTGGTATCAATGCTATCTTAATACTTAAAATATAACGACTTTTTTAATATAAGTACAGAGAACAGTGATAGGACTAATCCCTCCTGCACGCCCACCACTGTAACTCCTGTACACCAAGATCAACAGCAATTAATCCGCGACGAAATTAATCCGAAGAAAATTCGAGGAGTTGGAAAAACAGTAAACAGAAAAGTGATATTGGCATTTGTTAAAATTCAATAGGTAGACAGGTTTTCAGGATTTGGCAAGCAGATTCATGCATGTTTGATTAATTAAAGCTTGCGCATTAGATTCACTTGAAAACTTGACACAAACCTATACCAACCCGGTACCAGCGTGGTATAGTAGGCCAAAACCGCCTTTCTAAGGAAAGGCCTATGTCCAGCAGTGCACTATTAAAGGCTGTTGATGGGATACGATGATGTGAATGGCATAATATCTAAACCTACCTGTACGTTTAGTTATTAGAGCTATAATCTTATAGCGTGAGTATAGTAAAATTCATTTTTTTTATTAAAAAAATATAATACCACATTAACTCCACCATTATAAGCTAATTTAACACACACAATTTTATTTTACTATATTTAATTTGAATTGTTATTCACCACAAGCCTGCAATACAAAGCAAATCTCCCTTACCAGGAATTTCATGTTGGCTACAATGTTTCTTTGCACCGACTGATGACCGACTCACGCGCAGCCGTCTTATATACACGCTCTCGTAGCAGCTGCTTCAATTATTTACATTTTTTTTTATTACACCAAGGATAGGGATGAAGAATATTATGCAAAATTGTTATTAACAAGGTTTAGTAACACGATGTATTCGATCCCATGTAGTGTTAAGAAATAAACGTTTTGTAAGAGTTTTTAGGAGTGTGTTTTTTTTTTAATGTGATTAGTTCTTTAGAACTAGTATGGGTATTCATTTACTTATATATATAAAGGTTTCAATCAGTACAGTATTATTTAAATACGCAATCAATATTTCACATCTTTTGCGAGTCACTTAGTAATTTTAGGACTTGATAGTTTTAATTAATATATTTTATATTGGCTCAAATGAATATTATTTGTGGACTGGCCTATTGATCTAGTGGTTAGCGATCCTAAGCCAGAGGTCCTGGGTTCGATTCCCTACCGATACAATTATTGTGTGATGCGCACGGCTATTTGTTGTGTCTGGGTGTAGTTTATCTATGATATGTATGTACATATTTAGAAAAATATTTGTGTGTTAATCATAGCGCAGCCTGGTTTGTGTTTTTAGCTATCTACAGTAACTAGCTAATGTTATGTACACCGTAAGTGTCATACATTTGAGACACAATTCTTTGTTACATAATAAAAAAACATATTAATATATAAGAAAAAATAAATAATTATTTATTCATTTTATTTATATTTTTAACACATCATGCACATCCGATGCATTGGCGGACTTAATGCCTAAAGCATTCCTTTCCAGTCAACAATTGGGTGATGCAGAGAAAACAGGTAGTAGGTGCATTTGGTTTGAAATTCGTTTTGTAATATATCAAATACACATAAACATGTTTAAACCTATCAAACAGGAAACCCATACACATTATACTTAAGTACGTACATATACCTAAATAAATATAAACTTATAAAAATACATATAATATAATATTAAATGTTTGATTGGATGTTAATACCACTTTTGTTAATTTTGGGTGTGTGGAAGTTGCTTTGTTTCTGTTTTCTTGTAATCCTAGTTTTCTCTGCATAACCCACTGATGGAAGAGAATGCTTAAGGCATTAAGTCAGCCTATATGTACTGAATATAATTATTTATGTAATTTTGATCCAAATTCTGATGTAATAAAGGCGATGTTACTAGTACAGGATGGAGTTTCCGGTAATAGCCACTTCAACAAGTATGCGACCCTGACCTGTTCAAGTTATTGCCTAATTGCCTAATACATCCGTAAAAGCAATATCCCTTTGCTACAATTACCTTCCCTTCTTATCCACCTCATTATCACATCACATCGACAGCCTTTAACAGTCCACTGTTGGACATAGGCCTCTCCTTAGAAAGAAGGTTTTGTCCTACTATAGCACGCTGGCCAGATGGGTTGGTACAAGGATTGTTTCAAGTTTTCCTTCTCTTTGCAGTGCTGTTCTCCAGCCTAGTTTGTTCCCTTAGTCGGCTTTTCCGACACCCACACGGGATGAATAGAGGTGGTGACACTCCGTATTCTTAATTCTACACCGCACGGGTAGTGCCTAATTCACGCAATAAACTTACCACCTGTTACAAAAGTGGGACTAAAATTAAAAAAAACTAAAGTAACATGTAGCTGAGCCCCTGCTTAACTCTTCGGGGATATAGGCGTGAATAAGTGACAAAAAAAAGATATTTATTTATTTATTTATTATCTTTATTGTATACACTAATAGAAAAAAAACAAAACAAAAGATGAGTTACAAATAAGTAAACGTAACAATCGGCGGTCTTATCGCTCACAGCGATCTCTTCCAGACAACCTTAACATGGATTTTAGGTATTTAACAATTTAGGGTAGTATACATACACGTAACACAATATCACGTATTTAAAAATATTCACAAATATAATAAAAACACATTCATACACAAATATACATCTATGGACATTACACATATACAAATACACATACATACATACACACATACCCATACATATTTGGAATATATAATCTTTAATTATTTTTTTAAAAACAGGCAAGGTTTTAGCTTGTCGGATTGTTTCAGGCAAGTTGTTCCAGAGTCTTACTGCTTGCACAGTGAAAGATTTGTCTGCAAACTGGGTGGAATGTTTTGGCATTTTTAGTTTTAAATTCTCCGATGACCTCAGGTCCCTGCAATGTGTGGTGTGTAGGAACTCAAAACGTTTTTTGAGATAAGAGGGTGTGTGAGGATGAAACAGAACACCGTATAAAAGAGAAAGAATATGGAGATTCCGGCGAAGGCGTATTGGTAGCCACTTGAGTTTGGAACGATACTCTGAGATGTGATCATACTTGCGTAAACCAAATATGAATCTAATACAGAGGTTTTGGAGTTACGACGTTAATTGATAATTAAACTATAGTAATTAGAATTTGTTGTCTTTGTTTGGTCTAGGTATTTTTTGACATTTAAATACGCGTAAATTATAACATGTTCTAAGTGGCACGAAAGTTTTTTTTACCCAACTGTGCCAGAAGGAAAGTTATGTTTTTCGAGTGGTTGTGTGTGTTTCTTTGGCATGTTGTTTAGCCTAAACGGCTTGATGGATTTTGGCGTTAGAGGTGTCTTTCGATTCGTCTTTATTGTAAAAGTGACACTGGGTAATTTTTTCTTACCCAGTAGTTTAATACTGGGTAAGAAAAATTAAAATCGCGAGTTTGTAAATTTTAAGTACGTACCTATCCATTTTCACAATATTTTTTTCTAACTGCATAAAGAAAATTGTGTTTAAGAGCGGATAGTTTTTACAATTATCTAGATTAACTTGAAGAACTAAATGTTAAGAAATTTTTAAATCTTATTTGTTAATTTTCGCCGCATTACTTTTGAAGATATCCTTCACCGAGCTTCACCGCTATTAGACTGAATGCTTACATTCTGACATAGAATTATAAGAATTGTGAAAAAAACACTCAAGCAATGTGCTCCTGCACTTTGCTTGTTCTATAATGTTTAAAAATAACTTCAAAATACAATCAAATCTGTTCAAATGATTAGACATCTTCAAACGGCTGAACACATCACATTACATCACATCATCAGCCTATCCCAGTCCATTGATGGAGATAGGCCTCTCCCATTGCACACCACTTAGATCGATTTTGGGCTTCTCGCATCCAGCTCCTGCCAGCCATCTTGTGCAAATCGTCACTCCACCTGGCCTGTGGCCGTCCTACACTACGTTTGCCGAGACGCGGTCTCCACTCAAGAACTCGTTTTCCCCAACGGTTGTCGGTTCTGCGGCTAATATGGCCAGCCCACTGCCACTTCAGCTTGCTGATCCGGTAGGCTATGTCGGTGACCTTGGTTCTCTGCCGGATCACCTCATTTCTGATGCGATCCCTTAAAGAAACGCCGAGCATAGCCCTTTCCATAGCACGTTGAGCGACTTTGAACTTGTGGACCAGCCGTACCGTAAGTGTCCACGTTTCAGCTCCGTATGTCATGACGGGTAGGACGCACTCATTAAAGACTTTCGTCTTAAGGCACTGTGGGATCGACGATGAGAAGACTCGACGTAGCTTCCCAACGCTGCTCAACCCAACCGAATTCTTCTGTTCACCTCGTCCTCGAAGTAGTTTCTACCTAACTGCAATGTCTGCCCGAGATACACATAATTTTGAACAGCTTCGAGAACGGCACCGTGTACCGCAATCGGTTCCGGTAGTACATGTTCGTTGAACATGACCTTGGTTTTATCCAAGTTTATAGGCCGATGCGTACAGAAGTGTCAGCTAGGTCATTCAGCATTTGCTGTAGGTCCTGCAACGTCTCTGCCATGATGACAATGTCGTCTGCAAATCGCAAGTGAGAGATGTATTCGCCATTGATATTGATGCCACGCCCTTTCCAGTGCAGCGTCTTGAACATGTCCTCCATTGCATTTGTGAACAATTTCAAGGAAATCACGTCCCATTGTCTCACTCCTCGATGCAATGGTACGGGCCTTGTTTGCTGATTCTGTACTTGGACGGCATGGACATGGTGGCGGCTTCGTAGAGACATCTCATCACTTGGATGTATCGCCAATCTACTTGGCAACGCTGCAGGGACTCCATAACAGACCAGATCTCGATCGAATCAAAGGTTTTCTCATAGTCCACGAATGCTAGACACAGGGGCTGATTATATTCTTCGGTCTTCTGTATAATCTGCCGCACTGTGTGGATGTGGTCTATGGTGCCATATCCGCTCCGAAACCCAGCTTGCTCCGGTGGTTGGAATTCGTCGAGTCTTTGCGCAAGACGGTTCGTGATGACTCTCGAAAACAGCTTGTAACGTGGCTTAGAAGGGATATGGGTCGATAGTTCTTCAACCTGGTCTTATCACCCTTTTTGAAGAACAAGACGATCACACTCCTACTCCACGCTTCCGGAGTTCTCCCTTCAAACAGGACAGCGTTGAAGAGCTTTTGTAGCTCCTTTAGTACGGGTTTACCCCCGGCCTTTAGCAGCTCTGTTGTAACGCCATCCTCTCCAGGGGCTTTTCCATTTTTCAGCTGTCCAAGAGCCATCTCGATTTCGTCAATGCTAACTTAATGTGGCTCTGGAGTCCACAACGTTGTCAGATAGGGACTTATTTACCAGAAACCCAACGCCACCTTGGGATTGTTGGTCTCCCTCGCGGAAGTACATTAGGTGGCCTGACTCGAGGGTTATGGTGTCCTTCCCCTCCCTTCGGACTTCACATAGCCCTAGGATATGCCACCTAATCTTCCCAAGTTCAACCTCAAGTTGCGCCATTTGCGAGTCTAGCCGTAGCGTGCGTCCGTTGTACGTAGCCAGGGTGAGTCGGTTGTGGTGGCCTCCCGTAGCCCGGAGGTTCTACCACCATGGTTCTACCACCAGGTTTTACCACCATGACCAGGAATAGCGGGCCTATTGTATTTAGCTACGCCTATTGGGATGGATATA